ACTCCGATAAGAAGAACCATCAGGAAGAAGATCTCCATCACCTTGTCTCAGCTTCAAATTCTGCTCCATTGGTGTCGCTACCAGGTCACAGGTATCCATATGTGCCATCTCCAGGAGGTCAATAATGTATTTATGTTGACTCACTAGTAAACCCGACGAGGTATGATGAACTTCCAATCCCAAGAAATAAGAAACATCACCAAGCTATTTCAGATTAAAGATAGTACGAAGAGAAGTAGTAAGAGCTTGAATACCCGCAAGATCATCCCCACTCACAAGCAAATCATCAACATAGATATGTAAAACAGTGAGACCCGCGGAGGTGCGCCTGAGAAACAAAGAAGGATCACTATCGCTCTGGTGGAACCCAGCCGCCTGAATAGTATCCTGAAACTTTTCAAACCATGCCCTAGGCCCCTGTTTCAAGCCATAAAGAGAGCGCCTGAGCAAGCACACCTTTGATTTATCACAAGACAAATACCCAGGAGGACACTCCATGTAAATCGTTTCCTTGAGATCGCCATGAACGAAAGCATTTTTGACATCCAATTGTTGAAGACGCCATCCTTTCATAGCAGCCACAACAAATAAAGTCCGAACAGTCTTCATTTTAGCCACCAGAGCAAACGTTTCCTCATAATCAATACAAAACTCTTGCCGAAAACCTTGGGCAACTACCCTAGCCTTAAAACGTTCAAGCGAACCATCAGGCTTGAGCTTGACATTGTACACCCATTTCGAACCAATTACAGGAACACCAACCAGATACGGAACAACATCCCATGTATGAGTAGCATCAAGAGCATCAATCTCCACATCCATCGCATTATCTCAATGGGGATTACCATGAGCCTGCTTGTACGTAAAAGGAATAGGGATATGGTTCGTCGAAAAGGTCACAAAGTTAGATAGATGAGCAGGTGGGTTACCTTTAGTTGATCGCAAGGAGCGCCTCGGCTGGGGAGCCACCTCCTCCTCCTCAAGGGGTTGATCAAGAAGAGGAGAGGAATGAGAACCGGACGACGAGCAGCCTAAAGAAGAACTCGAAGTAGGAGAAGCCAAACTGTGGAAATGGGCGGCCGAGGCAGTTGAGGAGGGAGTAATTCCCACAGCAACGAGATCAAGGCTGGAGGTGAAGGCGGATCCGGAGCATCGACAGCAGGTGAGACCTCGGCAGGAAATGAAGGCAAGCCATGAAGAAACTCCAGATCCGAGTGAGTAGGTGCATCGGAAGCACCATAATATGTGAGGTGTTCCAAGAATGCAACATTACAGGAAATGCAAAGACGACGATTAGTCACGTCGTAACAAGCATAACCTTTCTGCTTATCATTATAGCCAACAAAAACGCACTTGATGGCCTTGGGAGCCAGTTTGTGACGTTCACGACGTGGTAGTAGAACATAGCAGACACCCCCGGACACCCACAAACGATGATAATCAGCTTTCTTGCCATAGAGCATCTCATACAGACTCTTCTGATCCATAACAGGTGTCAACTGTCGATTAATAAGATAGACTACCGTATGAATAGCTTCGACCCAGAAAGACGTTGAAACACAGGACTGAAACAGTAAGGCTCAGGTGAGTTCAAGTACGTGCTTCCGCTCAACCAGACCGTTCTTCTGCAAAGTACCGGGACACGACTACTAAGGCAAGATGCCAAACGCCCAGAATACTTCCTGCAAAGGACCAGACTCAAACTCCCCTCCGGATCGGAACACGTCACTTTAACCATCCACCCAAACTGAGTTTGCACCATCTGTAATAATTCCTTAGGAGTCGAGAGAAGATCAGACTTATGATGTAGGAAATAAACCCACGTAAATATGGTAGCGTGATCAACAAAAAGTGCGAAATAACGAAAAGCCACACGAGAAGTAGCAGGCGAAGGACCCCACAAGTCAGTGTGAACAAGCTCAAAAGGATCCGAATAAATAGTAGTACTAGTACCAAAAGACTGTTGAGAGAGTTTATTCTCAATGCAATGAACACAGTCACGAGAATCCGAAACTGAAGTAATTTATTCTAAAACATCTCTAACAATCTAGCCGAATGAGGATGGCCCAACCGACGGTGCCATAAAACCCAGTTTGACATATTAACAGAACAACAGAAATTAAAACCACACCCAAAAATAGAATCTGCACTAACAGTTGCGGAACCACCCCCTGAACCAGCAGCCTCCTCTCCCACGAACGGCTTCCTAGAGTAGTGATTCAGCTTAAAAATGCGGCCCACCTTAGTCCCGCGGCCGAGCTCCCTCCCCGTTCTCGTGTCCTGCACAACACAACCATTGATATCAAAGATCACCCGACATCCATCCTCATTCCTCAGTGAGCTGACCCACGGACACGAGACTGGGAATAAGTTTTGGTACATAAAGAGTATCGAAAATAGATAATCTAGACTGATCAACATCACCCATTTCCGTAGAAGATAAACACGACCCATCCGCAACTTGCAACAAAATAGAGGAACGAGGCCATGATGTACTGAACAAGTCGCTAGACCCTGTCATGTGATTAAACACAGCTGAATCAAGAATCCAGGAGGAGGATGAACTAGAGAGCAGACTCGTAGTAAAGACCGATCCAAGTGTCGAGGGAAGCGTCTCCTTAATTGCCTCATGAACAAGCTGGCAAAGAAATTCCGGATTCACACCTTGTGAAGAAGACCCAACTGGAGAGGGGGCAGGCGCGGGAGTGGTAGCATACACCGAGCCCACAGGAGCAGGTTGAGAAGACACTGACGAGCCAGAAGAAGACCCTTGAGGTCGATTCCAACCCCGCTTTGCTAAGATAGGGCAATAACTGATTTTAGACTGGTTGCCTTACAATAGTTACAGTCGGCACGCTTGGGACAATGACTTTGAATATGCCCCGGCTCCTTACAAAAGAAACAAATCACCTCACCACTAGGAGTACGATGAAAGTGAGGTTTGTCCGCTCCAACAACAAAGGTAGCATTATCAAGCGTACCAGTTTTCTCAACAGAGTCAGCCGAGACTGCAAATGCAGAGGGAGCATAATCGGGATGATGGACATACAACTTAGCCTAACTACAAAGTATGGCTTCTTCACGAACCAGCTCGACTAGGACCTCCTCTATCTTCGTAACATTCCGACGCAAAAGAGATGCAAGGATACCCTCAAATTCACCCCGCAACAGCATCAAAAAGTGCATTAACTTCAAGCTGGCCCTCTCCTGTAGTACTTCGGCCGAAGCAGCAGAGGATAGCGAAGTGGTAGTGATGAGATCATGTTTCGTCCAAAGGCTAACAACTGCCTGGTAATAGGACCTAACATCAAGATCCCCGTGATGCAGACGAGCATGGTCGAGTTCGACCACAAATTTGCGAGAAGGACTAGATTGTGAGTGAACTTCGGACAAGTGACGCCACATGGCATGCGCGGTAGGAAACCCACGGAGACTCAACGCAATTTGTGGGTCGACAGAGCCAAGCAACCACACTATGACCTGGGCGTTTTGGACTACCAAGTCTTCTTTCGCCTTCGCAGTTGCATCCGAAGCCGGCTCGGCCATCGTGCCATCCAAAATACCTGAAAGACGACGCCCCTGAACAAAGAGCCAGAACTGAAGTTCCCAGAGGGAGATTTTTTTGTCATTAAACATGATATAAACTGTGCCGATCTTGGAAGCATCCATGATGCAGACGAAATCACCAAACAAGACAGACAACCCAGGAGAAGAAGAACACAGCCAGCAATCGCACACCACCAAAACGCGACGAACCCGGAAGCTGGAGCAACAGAAGCCCTGACCAAAGGAGAGGCTCTAATACCATATTAAACACAAAATCAGCAGAGGAACATAAATAAGAACACACCGATTTACGTGGTATCCTCAACGTATTGTTGAGACTAATCCACGGAGAGGAGCAACCTCTCAGAGTCAACTATATTCACCGAGAAATCTTGAGTTACACATACGGCTTATCAACATATAAATACCCTAGTCGTGTCAACCCTATCTCGAGCTCCAAACTGTAATTAACCAATATTTACCCCCATAATTAAAGGCTAATTACAATTGACTACCCAACACTTCTAACAGTTCCTTCCTTTCTTCATCACAAACAGATCTTCCGATTCAATTTGAATATGCTGTCGTTTCCTGCGGCGAGAAAGGGAAGAATCCATTGGACTTCGGTGTCTCGAGGAAGATAATCAAAATTAATTTCTACCACCCAAACTTTGATTTTGAGTGACCAACATAGTAATTTAGTCGATATTGTACAAGTACAACTATATTTGCTTGCAATGTGGGTATACCTCCTCATCTTATTTTTATTTGAGATTTCCTACACAAAATCATTAATATGATTTGGTAACTAACATCAATAGTAAATTTCATCAATTGAAATGACGTGAATAAATTATGAGGCTATCTATCTACTAGGGGTATACAACGGTTCGGTTCAAACTGTAGCGTGCTGCACCAGACCAAATCAAAGTTTCGACCGGACCACATCGGACCGAGTATAACATGGTCCGATCCTTTGTTCCAAGAATTTTATAAATAATAAAGAAAAATGGACTTAAGTGACATTTGGACAGGATAAAAAAACGGATCAAATGCACTGTTGGTCCGATCTTTAGTTCATAAAAGTCTCTAACTATTGGATTGTTGTTCTCCCGGATTTGGTTCGGACCGTTGCACACCCCTACTATCTACTTTTTCTATCCACATTTTAAAAAATTAGGTTTGCTACGCAGAGGTTAAAGCCTCGATCCACAAAACATGCGACATGTATACTAATTAAAGCTCCTGAATCATAGCTCCCACATTTGTGGAAATAAATTGAAAAAAAAAAGAAGACAAAAAGTTCTCTAAGCCAATGAATTCCACCAAAGAAAACTTTCCAAAATCATACCACACACAGAATTACAAATTTAGAATGTTTGAAACTCTTAACCAATCAATCCTAACGGTTTCCTCCATTATATATATGAATCTCATATTTTCAGCTCCCTTCAATCCACCTTTCCCTATACCCACACCCTAAACACAATAGCAAAAGAAAAGAAAAGAAAAGAAAAAAATCAAAGATGGATCTCTCAACCAAATCAACAACAACACTACTCTTCTTTGTCATCTTTACGCTCACTCTTTCTTCTCTCCTCTCCATCTCCACCTCACAGGACCTCGCTCCTTCTCCTTCTCCTCCCTCCGTCGATGACTCATCAACCTCCTCCTCATCGCCGTCATCATCTGCCGCCCCTACGCAATCAAGTTCCGCCACGTCAGCTGTTGAACCAGCTGACGCTTCCTCTCCATCAGGTAGTGTCTCCGGTGACCTCACCACCGCCGATCCTCCCACCGTCGACGACGCTTCTTCCTCCTCCTCCGCTCCATCCCCGTCGCCCGATGCCTCGTTCCCTTCGTTCCCGACGATGTTCTCCATGAAATTGGAGCGCAAGATGCAAGAGAGTTCCATGACCAAGCCGACGGACTTGGTGAGGGAGTTGTGCTCGGGGGCCGAGAACCCCGGCAAGTGCATGGAGTTCTTCCGCGATTCGCGCTCCGACGACCCGGCAGAGATCATCAACACCGAGATCGGAACATTAAGGACGCTGGTCAACGAAGGGATCTCTGCCGCCACCAAGGTCAGGCGACAAGGAAATACTGGTGCTGTCTTGGATGTTTGCCTTGAGAATTACGACAAGGCCATGGGGAACCTCGACAAAGCATCCGCCACGTGTGCGAAGTGCATTCGTGCGAACCCTAAGTGCTCTCCCAAGAGCACCGGCGAAGTTAAGACCATGCTCAGTGCGGTCGTCTCCAACGTGGGATACTGTGACGAGGCGTTTAGTGCTCAAGGCGTCGCCCCGCCGATGAAGGCTACCAATGAAGCCGTGATTGAGTTGACCGATTGGTTGTTGGAATTTTGTAAGAAATTAGGAAAGAAGTATTAAACAAAACAGAAAACAAAACCGGACGTACGTGAGTTTGTGTGTTTATGAAAAGAATAAGTTATGAATACAGATCTTATATATAGGGGGAAAATAAGTGGAAAATTATGTGTACTTGCAATTGCGATATAATAATTTCTCAATTTTGTTTGCGTAATCCAGTAACGAAAAGAAAAAGAATTCAATACTTATTTTAAATCAATTTTTTGGATCAATATTTGATCAACTTTTCTATCAATATTTTTTTTATTTGCATCAAAGTATTTGAATTTTTAAAAAGAATACATAAGCCTTCCTTCTAGGAGCAGTAATCGGTTATGGTCGTTTTAACTATAACCGTACTAGTAAAGATGGTTAGCGATTAACCAATAATCGATAATTTCTTAGTGGTTTGGTTTCGGTTAGCTGTATTTTGCTTAGTTTTTAGCTGCTAATCGACCAATAGGCTAGTGGTTGCCCGATAACTTCCTAATAGTATAAACACATAGTTTGAGACTTTGGCTAAGGAAAAAAGTGTGAATATTCAAAATTGACCAAAGTCGCAATTCAAAAAAGAATTGCAAACAATCCTCCACCAAAAATCTCAAATATGAATTACCGAATAAACTCTCAAGTATGTTTACTAGTCAGAACCTGGAAGTCACACATCCATGACTTCCCTATGCGGTCATCATAGCGAACCTCGCACCCCTATTGGCTTCGTTTATTTAATGTTTGTGAATGATGATGATCTTGAAGTGTTTGTGTATGTTGTCTTGCTAACTGTATGAAGACTTTTGTAACTTCATGTGTTGGAATTTGGATTTGAATTATGAATTCGTGATAGATGTTGTATTGTATTGATGTTATCTTTTATAAATATAATTTTATGTTAACAATGTAGAAGTGAGATTAAATTATTTTGAATTATTTGTATGATTATATTCTACTATAAAAAGGACACCTTACAAAGTTTCAAATAACAAAAGTAAAAGAAATAAAATAATATAATATTCAAATCGTTAACTGTTCATCCAATCAAACGTCATTTGACTCTGATGTGGCAAATTATGCTCACATGGACGATGGTGTGGATATTGCATTCTGACACATTAACAAAAATACAGAACCAAAAAAATATAGCCAAACATTTTATCTTGTACAAAATAGTAGCCAAACCTTTTGAAATACAATTTAATAGCTATTTTCAGGGTAATTAACATAAACGGTCACAAACCTTTTCACTTAGTACAAAATGGTCACAATCTTTAATTTGTAACGATACAATAACAATAGTTTGAAATGGTATGAAATTGTCATTTTTATTTAATTACCGACCGTTTCGTGTTAAGTGCAAAGGTTTTGTTACCGAGTCGTTACAAATTAATGTTTGTGACTGGTTTGAGGTCGGATCATGTGTTCGTCAAGTATATGACACTACCACTTGAACGACATGAGATGTCGGGGCGTGTGTTCATTGATATAATTATTTTTCCGAATAAGAATGCCATATATTTACCTTTCAATTCCAATATCGAGAACGTAAGAAAGTAATCCGAGTTTTTCCCATTAAAAAACAACATATAACCCATTTGCGAGGCATTGAATTCTTACTGTCATCCTTTGTTTTTCTTATGAGTATTGTCATCTTTTGTTAAAATCATATCGTTCACATAAATTAAAAAACCATCATACCTCGATTGGAGCAAATTGTAACAGTGATTGATCGTTCAAACCTTTGAACGTTGTACAAAACGGTCACCAAAAGTTTAATTTGTAACCACACGGTAACAAAAGTTTGTACTTGTATGAAATTTTCAGTCCGTTTAATTTGAATTATTTTGTTATAAGTACAAAATTTTGTTACCATATCGTTACAAATTAAAGGTTTGTGACTGTTTTATACTTAGTGCAAAGGTTTGTGACATTTTATGCTAGTTTTCATCAAATTAGCACAAGAGTTAGCAAAATCATATGTAAGTCCGGGTGTTTCGATACCACAACACAAAATTAATTAAAAATATTTTTATTTGATTTCAAACATTAAAAATAATATTTAAAAAAACTAAAGGTTCGTCTTATATTTTTCATCACAAAAATACTCTTCCTCTTTTTTGCATCTATTGTTCAAGAGCTCCATAAAAAGCCCTCCAGAAAAAGGAAGAGTATTAAGGTACGGAGAAATAGTAAGAATATTAACGTACGGAGAAGGAGGAGGAGGAGATGAGAACGGAAGTAAAAGATTTATAATTTACACGACAAAAGAGGATGAACCTCTATTTTTTCTATAATTGTTCTATTAGTATTCAAAATCAAATAAGAATATTAATTTAATTTATTGCTGAGGTATCGAAACATCCAGACTTACGTATGATTTCATTAACTTCGGCGCTAACTTTGACGAAATCTCTATCAAATTGTAGGGTTAATATTTTCGTATGGCCTGAACTTTGACCAAAATAAACATCCTGGCCAAACTTTTCGATCTATAACATCCTGGCCCGAACTATACACCAAAATAAACAATTTGGCCAAACCCGAAGTTTGACCGTTAACTTTGACGGTCAAACGCGTTGACTAATGGTCAACGCGCCATGTCACTACCAAGTCAGAAGATCTGATAAATATTTAATTTTTTTCGTTTTTTATTTTTGGTATAACTAAGGTATTGGATGATTTTTTTTAATTTATAATAATTTAAAATTAGGAAATGTGTGGAAATTGTGAATTATTTTAAATATTTTATGCTGACTTGGCAGTGACATGGCGCGTTGACTAACGGTCAACGCATTTGACCTTCCAAGTTAACGGTTAAAAGTCGGATCTGGCCAAATTGTTTATTTTGGTGTATAGTTCGGGCCAAGATGTTATAGATCGAAAAGATTGGCCAGGATGTTTATTTTGGTCAAAGTTCAGGTCATACGAAAATATTAACCCTAAATTGTATTTTAAATGGTTTGGCTATTATTTTGCACAACATAAAAAGTTTGAAATTGTTTTGGTTCCATATTTTTGTTGACATGTCAAAATGCAATATCCACATTACCGTCCACGTTAGCAAAATTTGTCACGTCAAAATCTATCGACATTTGACTGAATAGAAAGTTAACCGTTTGAGTTTGACTATTATATTATTTTCGAAAAGTTTGACTATTATATTGTTTTCATTCAAAGTAAATATCACATGTGCAATTAATCGATAAACTTATCGATTTAGTTTTTGGTATACAGTAGCACAATGCCCGGCCTGTTGGTTGGGAGAGTTTGATAATTATATAATTTGTATGTGTCATTCATACTGATAATGTGTGTTTTGCTTTGTATTTTGCCATAAACTATCTATACAATACTCAAACTACTCTTTATATGCATTGAACGCATTGAAACATGAGAAATACCAAATGACTAACAAAGAAAATGTAACTAATAGTAACATATATGATTACAAACAAAGTGCTGCCTATATAAAAAGATCCATAAATGACAACATGAGAGTTGTTTCCTATGCTACATACATAGTCAATCATCACTATAAAATAAAATTATTGTCCTTTGATGGAAAATATGATGGTTAAAGCCTTCGAAAAGTTTCAATAAATTAATGACTATCTGAAACATTGGTACAAAGAAAATTTTGTCAATGCTAACTCTTATCACATAAATAAACAAACTCAAATTTCACCTAATACTAAATCCATTCCTAGCTCCCCACTTATATTTATATGTATAACTCTATCTCATTTAACTATTCAATTGCTACATATACTGAAGTTATCCTTTAAGTTCATTTGTATGAACTCGTGTGACTACTAAGAGCAACACAACCACTACCATGTTTACTTGGTATCACAACTAACTAAATGTGTTCAGCTAATTCCATGTCCCAAATTAGCAAGCACTTTAACCAATCTATCAATGCCCAAGTTTTTATGGAACATTCATTAGCGGTCCCTCACAAACAACAATAATTTAAATTTCAATATATATATATATGTTCATAAAAAAAATCCTAAGCATGTACCATAAACGGATTCATCAAATCTAGCCTCAAATAAATTTCAAACATTTAAGGAATAAAACACCAGGTATATAAAATATTGTACTTGAACTAAATGAAATACTCACACTAATAATAGCTCATCAGTTTATCTTACATGTACTTTCAAAGACAAATTTTTATCATGTCGTTGTATTAACGGGAGCACTACCAATTGATCAATGATTCCACCAACCAATGAATTGATTAATCTGTCAAGCATTACTGTATTTCTTGCTTATGGGAACATATTTTTAGGGCATAATTCAAAAGTTTTCATTCCGTTATGGGAGAGAGTAAAATGATATTGATGTAGACCCCTAAAAACAACTTTAAAATAACCTCCATATTGGCCTGCAACCACTCCAATCTCGACTCCTTCTCACTTAAAATGATCGTCGCCAAAGTTGGAGATATAATGAACTCACAAACTCACAGGGATCCCACAATTCTCGATGAAAATGGCCAATTACACCAAACTAATCATCGGGCTTAATAGTCATTACAAACTTCAAGAGATTGACCAATTGATCATTTGGAAAGCTAAAATTTACCACTTACTTTGTTCTAACTATATGGTAAGAAAATCAATCTAAATATAAAAGATATAAATTATCAAATACGTATTCATGCATGAGTAACAAATATATATATCAAAACAAATTTGTGGTTTATAATAGCTTACATTGGCATATGCAAATAGTTGAAGGTTATTAAAATGACCAAATCTTAATTTTTTAAGTATTTTTATAAATTTTGAATTAAATAAAATAATTCATTTTACAAACATATAATTACTTGTTGTGAAAATATAATTTTATAAAAAAATTCACGATTTCACGAAAAAATAGTCATGAGTATTGAAAATAAATATGGTCATTTGGATCATGGGTGCTGTAATTGGTTGCAATGATTATGATTGTCTAATTCTATATTTATATGTAGATATTTTAAAAGAAATGAATTTTTTTAAATCCACACCTATAAACATTTGCATGTATTCTCATTCCTACCACCAAGTTAAAAGACACTCAATCAATGCACTCATTACTCAATTTTGAATACCAGATGAAATTTTATATTTCAACCTACTTCCACTAATGGTACAAATAATGAGTATACTTTTAAACAATACAGAAAATATTTCAAACATCACGATATTATAAATGTACCAGTTATTGTAAATAATAAAGTCAAAATTCATTCAACCTACAGAGTGAGTATAGAGTTTGTTCATTCTTCAAACTATTTTATTTATACGAAGAATCAAAATGTATAATAAGGTTTATCTTCTCTGGGCATACAAATTTATAGACACATAAAAAATGGTGAAATGAACCACATGTAA